CGGATGCATAATTTAATGCCGAAGTGCAATTAGTTTAGATGCCATCAGTGGAACGTGAATGTAGCGGTAGTCTTTCGCAGTCGTTTCACACTCTGATTCACCCAACTTTGCATTTTTCTATTGTGCAAATGAGTTTTCTGTGGTTCCCTCAATCTCTACTCCCGCATTTATTGTTAAAACATAAATTATCGCGTTCAAGATCTCTGCCCAAAAGTCGCGAATGAGAAATTCCACAGGATAAAACGTCAATGCCATAAATTCATGGACGTTAAAGTAACATTTGAGGTTGCCTTTTAAGCTGAGCTGATAGTGGGGAAGCAGGCGTGCCATCGCCCCTAAGGAAATTGTCAGTAGGTGTATGTTAACTAACCACTGTGTGCGTCGAGCGTGTACGAAGTTCTAATCAAATGGAACGAACTTTAAAGGAAAAATTATGGAACCTCATGACTAATCGTTCCACTGACTTGCGTGAGATGGTCAGTGTGGCGCCTGAAACAAATATTAAGAACTCCGCGTCAACTTCGCCTTGACTATGACCCGAAAAAAAATCTTTGATTCAAAAAGTGTCATGTGTCGCCTACTTAACCGGTATTAAAGCATACTTTGACACATTCTACAAAGGGAGTTCGTTAATGTTCGAAAGTTAGGCCACACAAGGAGGTAACATTTTGTTGGGCTTCTGCGGTTTCCCGAAAGTCGTTCCACTGCACAGCGAATTGTTTGTTGAATGCGGTGTCATCACATAATTCCATCAAAGCCATTTAAACCGATTACTACTGACTTCTAGAGCGAGGAGTGAATTATTTCGAAGTGCAATTATTCCGAGGACCACTAAGCCAGAAAGGTTCACTCAAGCATACGCACTTTATCACGTCTCTGTTATAGATGGAATCCCAGTTTTCATCGTTCCAGTCGATTGACATCAACAGTGAATTGAAACGGTGGATGGCCCAACTGGAAGTTGTTGAAACCGGTGTAAATAACCTCTTCGGTCAAGTTCAAATTCTTCGCAATGGGCGCTACATAAGAACGGAGCAGGTGTACCGAAAGTAGGCTCACTTTACAGAGGCCTTTGCCTTGTTTCTTGTGCATATGGAGTGTTGCAAGTCTGGAAGTATATCCGACTTACTTCTGCTTATGGGCATTTTAAAATCTCGCTACCTTATCGCTTTCGATTTATATTTTAATCGAAGATTGCTTAATAGGAAGTGGATAAACAGTAAATGCCTACATAAACCAGTTTACATTAAAAAATACTGACGAACTACTAGATCTATGGGGAAAGTCTAGGAACTTCTGAATTCAAAATAGAAGCATTGTCAAACTAGGAACTATTGACTTTAAACTCTTATGCTACTTATCAGTCTGTAAGGTTACTCCATTTAAATCATTTTAATTCTCATCTATGATAGTGACGCGTTTTCTTTGCAGAGTGTGTACATTACATCAACGCCTCCTCGAATTGCAACGACGCTGCCGAAACTTCCTCAAGGTCACTTCACTGAGCCAATCAGAAGACCGGATTCAGACTCTGCGAGCCAACGGTGGTAGTTGGACGGCCGCTCCCGGCGGTCGCAGCAGTAGTAGCTTGAGGTGGCTGGTGAAACAAAGCAAACACTTCGGCGTCTTACAAGCAGCTCTAGATTGGATACAAGAGAGAAATGAGACCATTGCAAACGCACCTTTTGGTGATAATCGCAAGTGTAAGCACAAGGCTCTGGCGGTTCCTAAACTTAAGCAGCTTCTTAGGCAAAACACATTAAAGAAGTTTCATCGTCGATAGTCTCACCACATGCTCACCACTGTGTCAATATAAAGCTAGGAGGTGGTTACAAACTTTGGATCGCGATCATAACTGAAGATGAAAAAATGTTGGCTGAGGAAAAACGTATATAATTAACCTATCTGTTCTCTACGAGTCATGCACTGGCTACATTTTAGGCGAAATAAGACAGGCTTCTCCGCTTGAGCTCAAAAATGCTATAATAAAAAGGGGAGTTTATTCACAACTCCAATGGTTTGCACCGATTTCCAGTGCCTTTGAAGAAGAAGTTTCATAATTTTAAATGGAGACATCCGATTGGTGTACGACTACCCTTTCTACTTGCGGCTGCTTTAACTCGAAACTCGAAATAGTGGCACTTTAAGTGGCGTTCTTTCTGACAGGAAAGCTTAGCTAAAGCATCTATTCATTGGCTGATACTGGGTTCAACATGTCTACTTCCATCCAAAGAGATGAATATCAGCGTTGCTCCACCTAAAATTTGCCATCTTTCTTGCACATAAAGCACATCACTGCATTCCTCATGGCTAACGCCAGCATTTTTTGTGGAGGTTTAGGCTGACCATCGGCCTCGTGTTCCCATGGTAATTGTGGTGAGGTTGCGTCAATGTTCTAGAAATGGCCTGAATTGCATTAAGAATACACCTTTCCCTTGCGTTTATCAGCACTAGAAGTGCTTTCTGGACACGTTATTTCTTTATCCTTCACTGTTAAT